ATATATATATATATATATATATATATATATCTACACACACATTAAGTTTTTTAAAATTAGAAGAAGAAAAAAAAACTAACAAAATTAACAATAATCAAGCCAATAAATATGAATTATATTTAAATTTAATAATTAAAAATTCATTAAATTATTTTAATTTCAACGAGAAAGGAATACAAACCGAAGATGAATACCCCTTCTTCTAGCTTCTAGAATACACTTTCTCGAATCTCAACATTAATACTTGTTCTGTCTGTATTACTATTCCTTTCAGTTTGTTTAAAATGAGTAATTTTTTTTATAATATAATTTCAATTTTTCATAAGGTATATTTAAGATTACATAATTAAAAGAACAGTTTTATATATTTGATATAATTTTATTTTAGGATAATAAAAATCAAAAGTATTTTTATTTTTTAAACTCTATATTAAGTTAAAATAGGTTATTCTTTTTAAAACGGAGGAATAATTCCTCAAGTAATTGTGATTTGTGGATTTTTAATTATTACTCTTGTCGTTTCAAACTATTTACTATATCTACTTTTTAATAAATTGTTTAAGAAAGTATTAATTAAATTTTTTGTATAAATTGTTTGAGGATTTATCCATATATTCATCATTCATAATTTCCCTATATAATCATTCATGTTTTAGAAATTATCTAGGAATATTATTTATGTTTGTTTTAGGACTATAACATTGTAAAAAAAATTTCGTAGAAATTGTATAAAACCTTTTTATATTCTTATGTAAATATGAGGCTAAATTTATTGGTGGCCTCCTAAAATTGACACCAAGTTTCATATAGACACTTTAACTAGACGATGTTCATTTTAGACATTTTAACAAGGATCCTATTATATCATTTTGACACTTTTTGCTGAGTTGGCATATTATGTGTGTTACACTGTATTTGAGAGCGTGAAAAACATAATTTTAAGTCCTACACTACCTTATACCACATTTCCTTCTCCATATACCACTACCTTGCCACCATTATATATTCAACTTTCTCATTTCTTTGTCATTTCTTGATATGAAAAATTAAATTAATTATATATATTAACAAAAATAATTTAAGAAAGGACCAAAAATGTGTCTAGAGCATATATCTTCTTCATGATATCAAATTTTATCACCTAAGTTTTTTCATATATAGTTTCATTGCCGAAAAGTTCACCAAATCTTTCAAATATTTGTTGGTCTATTTTCACCTCTCTTTATTTGAGTTAATTCTTTTAGGATTCAATTTTTGAAATACTAATTTTCTACTTCTCAAAGCTTTTAACTTTTTCTATTTTGATAAACCCATTTCATGTAAATTCATAAATAGATCTGATTTAATCATGGAAAAAAACTTTTGTCGTACTTTGAAACTTTCAAAACAAGCAGTTCCAATGTTGAAGGTGATTGAAGAAAAAAGAAGATGAATTTGAAAGATTGAAGAGATGGAAATAGTATGATAGTTAGGCTATGAAAATTTGCTTATAACCCAAATTGGTTATATAGATTTGTAGAAAAAAATGAGAGTAATGATAATCTTCAAACTTGAAGAAGAAGGCATCAAAATAATAAGGATTAATTAGAGGAGGAGGAGATGTGGAAATGGTGGAGGAGAAAAATAAAGGTGTTGTAGATTTTTTTTTTCTTTCCCTTTTTCTTCTTTATTGAGATGTGTTTTTAAATTAATTAATTAAATAGTTTTAAAATAGATTTTTATTCAGAATATATATTTTTTAATATATATGCCACATGACATTATTTTTTGTTACTTTGACACGTTATCGACAAGTCTAATACACACATTTTATATATTTGGTTTGGTTGTCAAAAACGTGTTAATATGACACAATGTCGCCTTATTTAAGATGTTTAAAATAATAAGGCCTATTTGAAGTGTCTAAGTGAAAAATTGATAACAACTTTAGGTGACTATGGGTGGATTAGGCCTAAATATGAAGTTGTTCTTCAACATCCACCATGAAAGGCATTGCCCAAGAAATCTTCTATTTCTTGAACTTTTTTAGAAAATGGAGGCTTACGATCTTGCAACGTGGCATTTTTACATTGATTTTGGGATATATTTTTTAATTCACGCGCTCCCAAGACGTGATATTACACTTGCTCTAAGAATGAGTTACAATAGTGTTTATAATCCTCAGAAAATAATTTCGTTCGATAATAGAAGACTCATAAAGTTAAGATATCTTTTTGAAAATTCAAGACAATTTTAATGGTGATTTTATATTTTTTTCTTTGAAAAATGATATATATTTCAGTTTAAACTAGAATATGACTACATGATTATAACTTCTTTCATGCTACTAATTCAAGGTATTGCATAAAAGGGTAAATTATGTGAAATGACAAATATTTAGAGTATATTATGTAATATAAATAAAATTTCAATTATTATTTGTAGCTACATTTTCGCAAAAATTTGCTATTCGGTTTACTACTGGTTTAAATTCAAAATTTGTATAATTGAGTCATTGATTGTATAAATTAAGAATTTATATAATTTGATTTTTAATTGTATAAATGCCGAATTTGTATATGCTTATCCTAATTATTTGTATACATTAAAATCACAAGATTAAAGGACAATTTTGCACATATGACATAACTTTCATTTAGGATCACAAAATTCAATAATCTTCTTCTATTTCTTTAACTCCTTGTCAAGTCAAACTAGGTCACTCTTTTTGAAATGAAATCAGTTATTACTCTATTTGTATAATGGCAAGCTAATATACAGACGGGGTTCTATAAAATTCCTAGTGTATAATACAAATTTTCTATTTATATATGAAAAGCAAAGTATAAAAACAGACAAGCAAAACATACAAATCGCCTTCGTTATATATTTGCAAGCGAAATATACAATCGCAACCTCTAAAGCGAACTGAACTATAGTTATCGAATGTGATTATCGAAAGTATAGGTATAGAACCTTATTATGTCTATTAACTTTGATATTTCTGAAATTTACAGCACAATTTGATCTAATTAATCATAACCAATTAGTTAACATGTTGATTAACCGTATTCTGAAACAAACAAATTATTGTCTAATCAAATTATCTGTTAAACCCTAAAAAAACATCAAAAGATATAAGCAAATTCACTATTTGTTTTATGTCAATCAATACGTGGAGTAACTCTCAATATAACAGTATAAAGTACGAAACAATACATCAACTCAATAGCAAAGGAACATAGTGAAAATTAGAATTATAACATAGTGGACATAGTAAAAATGTTTCTTACATATCAAAACTTTCTCACAACTCAAAAAAATGAGTCAAGAAACACTATCTCACAATAAACTAGTACTCCTCTAATATACTAAGATTGGCCTAAGTTATGATTATCTATAATTAAGAGCCAATACATGTTCTTAACACAACTATACAAAAGGGAATTGTCAATCTTTGGTTAAGGATTCATGTCAAGAATCAAAAGGTGAAGAATCCTTTGAGAACATGAAGTCAGAACAGCTAGTTTCCACCATTGACAATGAAGAAGTAAATCCAAGCATAGAAGTTCCCAAATTAAACTCCAAAAGATTATCCTCCAATTGGTGACCCCCTATAACAATTGATGCCTTTTGGTTAGCCCCTCCATCCAAGAATCCCAAACACATCACTTCATCACTCACTTTCACCATTGAATTACTCTCATAAATCCTCCACTTAACCATCTCACTTTGCAACACAAGATCAACACTTGGCACATTTAGTCCCTCCTCTAGTTTTGTGCTAAAGCAAAGCCCAAATGGTGCTATAGGTTCTACTTTAGTCAATCCCATGGAAAAACCAAATCTTTCATAAGCTTCAACAAATGTCTTGTAAATTGAGGTCTTCATAGTTGTAAAAGGGGAAATGGTACTAATTCTTGTCCCTCCTTGACCTTCCCCATCCATGGTAAGCAAAGTTGTGTTCAAAGATAGTTTCTTTCCATTAATTTTGAGGGATTTAACATTTATGTAATACTCTTCTGAAACCCCATTTCTAGATGAAATCAAAGGTGTATAAAGCATGGATCTTGAAACATCATGGCTCAAAAGTGACAAATAAGGACTTTCACCAGAAATTATAGCACCATTTGAAGAAGACAAACAAATAGCAAATTTCCTTTGAAAACCAAATGTATCAGACAACTGAGATGGCAATGCAATTCTTGAATTTCCTAGCCCCAACATACCTTTAGCACCTCTAGCAAGTCCTTGTAACAGAGTAGATGATGTACAAGAAAACAAGAACTGATGAATTGAAGCAACTGAGCCCGTTTTCAACTCATCAATAAACTCCACAGCAAACATATCCTCTGCTAATTCCCCTGTTGCAGCTAATCTTGTAAAGGGGTTTTCTGATTTCAAACCACAGATCTTGTTGTCATTAGTACAACCATTAGGCTTAGCCATGGAACATTTGAGTGAATTACAAGGTACAAGTTTTTGACTTGAAGAATCAGAAGTCAACCCACAATCAGCCCATAGAAATGAACCTTCAAGATCTACAACTAATTTGATGGGAGCACGATGAGTAGCACCCATGTAGAGTTGAGTAACATATTGAAAAGTAGATGGATCTTTGTTTACAGGGAGAATAATGGCTTTTGGTAAAAAGGGTCCATGAGAAACACAGAATGAAACCAAGAAAAAGAAAGGGAAGAGAGGAAGGAATTGAACTAGTGAAGCCATTTTTTGAGTTTCAAGATTCAAGAAAGAGTGTTAAAGAGAAAAACCCTATAAAAACATGTGCAGTTTTGACTGTGAGATGCTGCGGAGAGGCGCCACAGTTGGTGTGGAAGGTAAATAATGGCTGTTAAAAAAAAAGTGTGGATAAGGCCCAAGCAAAAATGTTTAATGTCATCATCTTTGCTGAGTAGGTTTACATGGTTTAATATCCGTCTCGAATAACTTGTGTATAATTTAATTAATTTTACGAGATATTTGTCATCTACTACAAAAACTCTTTTGTCTATGTTAAAATTTGAATCAAGAAGAAAAATATTTTATTTACAAACTAAAATATTCTAAAATCTTACTTCAAAGTCTATTTATTCTTTATTATTTTCTAAAGTTAGAAAGAATTATCAACATTTAATTTATAAAATTTAAAAATCAAATTAAATTAAGACTAAAAATCAATTTCGATATAAACTAGCCCAAATAATTCCTAATTAGATATAATATAACTAATCAAAAACAACTTAGATATTTTTTTTGCAATGCCCCACCAATGAAAAAAGGACAGAAATGTCATTTTTTTTATTGTCCAAGGTGAACTTTTAAAAAGTTTTTTACAAGTATTTGTTTATTGTGGCCAATTAAAAAGCAAAGTATTTTGGCATGTGAAAGATAGACTTTTTTTAAAAAAAAAATTATAGTTATTGGAGATGCATACGTGGGAAGGGAATATATCCAAATTCCAAAAGCATATCCAATTGCTAGAAAGATGGTAATTTTTGTTCTTATCACTTATGTACCCCTCATTTTCATTATCTAAAATATATACTTTTTCTTTATAAGAATATGCTCCCACCTATCCATATTATTTAATACTCAAGTTTGTCAATAATTATTAAGAAATAATAGTAATAATAATGCCACAAAAGTAATTAAAAACTTTTGTTAAATATCTGCCATGTGAATAAAATGGCTGTATATATTATTATTAATAATCAAATAAATTATAAAAAAAAAAAAACAGAGCATTTTTGGTTACTGCGGAGAGGCGCCACAGCTGGTGGAACTTTATTAAAATTAAAAGATAAAATATGGATAAGGACAACGAGGTGTCTAGTCAGCTATGACAAGTTTATTTTATTTTTTTCGGTTTTTGGTCAAAAAAAGAGATAAAATATTTTCAATGCTTCCTATTTTTATTTTACTATATATATTAAATTATAAACATACCTTACTTATAAAAGAATAATAAGGAAAAAAAATAAGGGCCAATATAAAGGGTGGTTATTGTTTAGTGTGCAGAGTAAGCTATTTTAAAGAATTTGATACTCTTTCTTATTACCAAAAAGGCTCAATAATTTTGAAAACTTTTTTTTTAAATGAAATATTATTAAAAATGAAAGTAAAATAAAATACACTTTAGGTGGTTCACAACTCCACATTACTAGAGTTGTCAATATGACATGTTTGACATTTTACGGTCAGGTCGAGTTAGTCTATTTTTAGTGTGGGTCAGAAAACGGTCAGCGCAACTCACAAATACGTGGGCTACAGATTTTTCGGGTCCGTTAACTTTTATAAAAAATATATATTTTTAGAATTATTAAAATTAAATTATATATTATAATTTAAAAATATTATCATAAATATCGACAAAACAATATTATATAATGTTAATGTTACTACTTTTTAATCAAATTCACAAATAAAATTATCGTTATAATATTTATTAAGGTTTTTTAAGTAAAAATATAAATATCTAAATAGAAATAATAACCTAATTGTTTTGAGTTTGGACTTTCTTTACTTTTAAATTTTAATATAATATTATATTTTTTAATTAATTTTTATTTATTCACGGGCCAGCCCTATCGATATTTCTCAAGTCCCACAAATCAACCTATTAAATCCAGGATTAGACCAGGCCGGCCCAACAAGTCTAACTCATATTAACGACTCTAGACATTTAGTAATCTTCCACTTCTTTTCGCTCTACCCTTAAGAATGCTTAAATAAAGTATATTAATAATTTTTAAAATAAATTTTTTTATTTATATACAAATCTATTTTTAAGAATTCGATTAGGATTACAAAAGAAATTTTACGATCAAGCAAATCAGATAGGTGACTTATCTTCTTCCACGTCATAAATTGTCCTACTCTTTTCTCTAATCTTCTTGCTATCCACACAATTTGATCATCTTATATATATTATTGAAGACCATATTTATTATATCAAAAACTAAAAAAATCTAATAAGATATTTTGGTCTTATCACTTATCTCCGCCTCATTTTATTCGATTTACTAGTATTCATTATTTTTGAATTTCTCATGTATTTTTATTTTAAAGTGGAGAACAGAGAACAATTTTATGTTTAAATTGTAACACGTTTCTTTTTTTTTTTTGAAATATACGCAAAGGTCAATAAAGTATACTAGCTCTATCAGAGTTTAAAGGGCTGGTCATGTGAATTTGGAATTCAAATTTAAAATTTATGTTTGTTTATGTATTTGAACAAAACTAGAGCTAAAATTTCAATTTTAAATATGTAACGTTATTATTAATTTTTAAAAATAAAACTGATCTTGTCTGGCAAAGATAACATAAAATTCTCACAGAACAAAAAGGAGGAAAATTAAAAATAAAGTAATTGGCGTTTAAATAACACGATGAATCTGGTCAATTAATTGGTTATGATACAGAATGAACCTGGTTCTTTAGTTGTTTATGATTCATATCATTAGTTAATTACTTTTGTGATGAGCTGATATAGTTTGTTAGAATTCGGTTACAAGATATTTTGATGCTATAAATAGCATCACATTCTCTTTTAAGGTTGAATGTGTTAGGAAAATTATACTTTCTATATCGAATTACTTGTTTACTTTTAAATTGACGTACCTATTAAGAAAATAATTAGTGGCATTGAGTTTATTATTTACCCCTATTAATTATGAAATAGATGAATTAAAAATTTAATATTTTCAAAAAAACATTCGTTTCTCAAATTAACTGAGGGTAATGATTGAATTTATTTTTTGTCATTTCTTAATTTGTTAAAATGGATAAGAATTAGAGATAACCATAAGAAGCAAAAATGGACAAGTAAATTGAGTTATAAGGAGTAGGAAATATAATTGAAGAAGAAGATGGCTGAAGCGTATAAAATCACTTTCTATAAACAGATATTATTCGTATATATATTGGAGAAAACACAAACAAATCCCTTCGGAAGACAACAAAGTCTTTTGTTTATACCTGTAGATTTTTTTTAGGCTACTTCTAGAGAGTCTTTATATTTATAAAACTTAGGAGATGACTTTTTCATAAGAGTCATGTTCTTTAATGAATATATGACTTTTTATAAGAGTCATGTTCTTTAATGAACAAATGAATTTTCATAATAGTCTCGTTCTTTCATGAATATACGTGTCTGTTCAATTAAAGACTTCTATATATTACAAAATATCCGACAATCACCAACTGGTTGTAATATTTCTCATGATATCATGCTACTAGAGAGTATCTTATAATATATTTGAACTTTTCGTTAGTGCAAGTACATTTTTTAAATTCTAACTAAGTAATTGATATTTTAAAAGATTAAACCACAACTCCATGTGTCAAAATAAAAAATATCACACACATAATATTATTTATAGCTTAGAAAACTCAGTATTTGCTTTAGCACGTTTATCGTCATGTCTTCATCCTTAATTCATGAATATATACAAGACCAATCCTTTAGATTGCTTGAAGCGACACCACTTCAATATACATATATGTGTCGTTGTAGTAGTTATTTACTAATTTTATAAAGAACTAATACAATCTCTGTTAAATAATCGCTACAATAAAAATAATTTTTAGCAACATTAAATATCATCATTATCTCAATAGCTTAGAATGGTTGCATCAGTTGTTGCCACAACATTTCAAAATCATATTTTTTCAACATTCCATTTCTTTTCAAGCATTTATATTCTTATTTCACTATGGAATTCAAGTCTACTTTGATGGAAAACTTATGGCACCTTCATACATGTTACAAAAATCAACTTATATGAATTTCATCATTATTATTAGAAGATTTACTATTTATGGACAAATGCACCAATTCATCTATGTATGAATGGTCATGTCTATACGAAAATTATCTTATAACAAACACTTCTTTTCATAAAAAGACACAATTTCAAGTGACACTACTTCATAAAATAACATAATATTTCTATGAAGGCTTATAGCCTAATATCATCACACAAATAGTTTAATTAATTAGTTATCGTTAAAATTATCAAATTGCAAATATAACTATCATATCAAATACATCAAAGATATATCTTGTGGCTGTTGAAGTAATAATTTATATCTTAAACTTCTTCAAATATTATTGACTATTAATTATAATTCAAAACTTGTGTGGACAACTATAAACTCATTCTTAATGTAGCCAGAGCCATCATATTCTAATCCCAAATGCCTATTAAATACTAGGGATATTACATCAAGACAACATTTTTACTTGATAAATTGATTATCTTCATTATCCATTGTTAACAAAAGCCCTTATGAGATGTTGTAAAGCAAACAACCAACCTTTGTCTCATTTGAGATTCATAGGTAGTCTTTGTTATGCATCTGCATTACCAAGAGTGTTTTCCATTTGCTTAACTGATGCGAAACACACGTGCTTCCTCAACTCCCTTTAAACCTCCTTTGGAACACACTGATCATCTGAGGTAAAGTGGTGAACTAGCTGATGAAGTTCGTAATGAACTTGTTCCTGAGGATGCAATGTTACCTCATTCACCTAATATATAAGGAGCCTCAAGAAAGTTTAGTACCGCCTTGAAGTCACATAACCTCATATGAAAGTTAGTCATGTGGTGTTGCCTTTCATAGATCCTTCTGTCAGAAGAATCACAATGATCATTCAACAACCTAAGGTTATGCTGGTGCTGCTGCTACTAGTCATAAACAAAGCAGCACTAGACATCCCCTGACCAATAATCTATTCTAAGACGATGTAACTCCATGTTATCAAAGTTCTTTTTCTAAATTTTCTGATTGTGTTTAGCCTAAATTCTTCAGGTAGTCAAAGATAAAGAGATGGGTTCAAGCTATGAAGTTAGAAGTTCAAGCTCACGAGGATAATAAAACCTCGATGATAGTTGATTTTTCAAGAAGGGAGAATAGTATTTGTTCAAAGTGGATGTATAAGATCAACTACCAAGTAAATGATGAAGTGGAGAAATTCAAAGAAAAGCTAGTAGCTAAGGGTTACAGTCTACAATCTAGAAGGCTTATACTAATATGTCACTTTTTGTCATGTTGCTAAGACGGTGACAGTAAGATGTGTTATTGTCTTCGCTATGTTTAAAGATTGGAATTTGTACCAAATAGATGTCTATAATGTTTTCCTACTAGGTGATCTAGATGAGAAACTGTACATGGAGATGCTTGAAGGGTTTAAAAAGTCAAGAAACACAAAGGATATGTAGATTATTCAAGTCATTGTATGGACTTAAGCAAGCATCTAGACAATGAAACATCAAATTTACTATTGCATTGTTAGTTGCTGATTTTAGTCAAAATGCACATGATTACTCACTGTTTATCCTGAAGAGGGATGGAGATTTACTGATTGTATTGGTCTATGTTGATGATTTACTTATCACTGGGAGCAATGCATAAATGATTATACTGATGCAAATAATAGTCTACACAAGCAGTTAAAATTGAAGCACCTAGGTGAGCTCAAATACTTTGTTTAGTATAGAGGTCTCGAGATCCTCAAAAGCTATTAACAACAATTCACTTTTTTCATGAAAGGATCAAGCATACGAAGATAGATTGTCACTTCATCAGGGACAAGATCAAGGCAGGGCTGGTTGAAAGTGTCTACTTTTCATACGTAAGAACACGTTACAGATTAGCTTACTAAAGGTTTAGGTCACACTCAACACTTGCATCTTATAAGCAAGCTGGGCGTCCTCAACATCTTGCACCCTTCAACTTGAAGGGGTGTGTTCAAATGCATCACATGATGAATTTGGTTATGATACATAACGAATCTAATCCCTTTAGTTAATTACTTTGTGATGAGTAGGTGTAGTTTGTTAGAATTTTATTACAAGATATTTTGTAGATTTGGGGCTATAAATAACACCACATTCTCTTTTGAGGTTGAATATACAACATATTGTGATCAATACAATTTTATTTCTCCTTTGAGTAATGTTTATTGAAAAGAAGTGGTACACCAACTAAACATTTACTGACATCTTGTGTAAATTCATTCCCTCGAAACCATCACAACTTGTTTTCCAATATTGCGACCAGAAAAGAGAGCAGTAGGTGCATTTTCGAGACCTTCAACTACGTCTTCTACGTACACAACGTCACCAGCCTTAATTTTTGGAACGATCATTTCTAAATATTTTGAATAAAGATGAAAGTAGTCGAAAATGACAAATCCTTCAATGCGGATTCGTTTTGAGATGATGTAAAATAAGTTGTGCACTCCTTCAGTCGGCTCAAGGTTGTACTGTGAGATCATCCCACACGCAGGAATACGACCATGGAGTTTCATATTCAGAAGAACTGCGTCAAGCATTTTCCCTCCAACGTTCTCAAAGTAAATGTCGATTCCATCGGGGAAGTACCTAATACAAATCATTTAATAATTAGTACCAAAGGTTCACTATACTTAATTAATCCCCTTGCTCCTTCCCAAAGATAGAGAGACAAATTACCATAAGCAAGATACATAGGTTAATTCACTACTAATCAGATCCAAACAAAGGAGATACAATTAATTATACAACATTCAAGGGTACTATAGCCTAGTCATCAACGAAGCATAGTTGAGAGTCATGAGGTTTCAGATTATCGAGAATGCAAAAAATTAAATATATCTGTCCTAATTCTTGGTGGATAGAACTGCCTGATATCGCGATGAAACTTACCTTTTCTTTACTTCCAGCACTACCAACAACATAACAACCCAACATCTTTGCAAATTGGCCAACAAGTTGACCCACAGCCCCAGAAGCAGCAGAAACAAAGACAGTTTCTCCCTTCTTAGGAGAGCAAATTTCATAAAAACCAACATAAGGCATCCCTTGCAAAACAATTAATGAGTTTTAATACACATTATAAAATTGAATTCACAATACAAATTGAATTTGTAATTAACTTACCTAAGATTCCAGTATAATAAGAAAGAGGGACATCTTTGTCATTGATTTTAAACAGATAATTCTGATGAGTAGTTGTTACAATACTATACTCTTCCCATCCAGTCATTCCCCAAACTAAGTCACCTTTTTTGAAATTTAAATCACCAGATTCCAAAACTTTTTACTCCAAATCGCTATTATAACAAAAATGAAAAAAAAATTATGCGAAACAGAGAATAATATAATTGTTACTATAACTATGTTATAGTTAAAAACACTTACAGAGCCAGGAGTGAACGAATCAATATAACTACCCTCTTGTTTTTTCATGCGTCCCCTCATGTAAGGGTCACATGACAAATAAAGATTCTTCAAAATCACAACATTAGAACCTTCTGGAACATTCAGTTTTATAGTGCTATTCTTCAATTCCATGTCTGATTCTTTAGGGTAAGTGTTTCAAAATGACTTGTTTGTTGCTAATTATCACTTCTTCTCCCATTTTCTCACTTAATTAATTTGCAGCTAATTCTTCTTAGTTGTTTAATGCGAATGTATGCCCTTTTAGAATGATCTGTTTATAATGTATATATAGAATGATCTGGAAGAACAAACATAACTGATGGCGTAAGCAATTTATTGGAAGAGAATTGTGTTTCAATTTTGATTCTCATGCTCGGTTGTATGATAGTGTTTTCGATAAGAATGACAAACAAAGCGGTGCGGTTTGGATAATTGTATATCCTTTAGATTAGACCTCTAATGTTTTGGTTTTTTTTTCATATTCAAACAAACATAAAGATGTATATAGATAGAAAAATAATGAATGATCATAAAAAATTAAGAAGAATTTGAAGAATGACGATGATAAACAAGGAAAATAAGATTATTTCACAAAAGAAGAGAGATAATTATGAAGATAAACATAGAAGTAGGATTATCAACTGAATTTTCTTTGTGCCAATTGGATAAATAAAAAAAATGGCACAGATTGATGGACAATAAAATAACACGACCTTAGTTATGCTTTGGAGCAGATAGATGTTGAGTTATGCTAATATCATGAATCACTAAAAAAAGATTCATGAGTTTCGATACCATAGAAGGCAGGGATGGACCCGCCTTGCCCAAAGAGTGTCAAAGCGAATAAATTTCAATATACATAGAGAATAAATTCTAAATCGAACATGTTATTTTTGTCTTTATTTATTCACTTTAATGTACGCTTTTAAAAAAAATAATGATTGATATGCATATTTTATCTTATTCATCTTAATTAATGTTTATTAGCATCTCTTCATCTCATTTTTATGTCATTCATTTTTATAAACATTAGGATTACAATATTTGTCATTTTATAAAAATTTAAGTATACTATTATATTTTATTTATTATATTTTTGATAGAGTAGTTAATTAATCTTGAAAACGTATTTATCATTTATTAAACAAGGATAAAATAACATCATTTTCTAATGCAATTACAAGTAAAAAGATGAGACGAGGAAAATATTAGATTTGGTAAATTGATATGGAAATATTGATACAAGTAAAATTGATATAAAATGAGACGAGGAAAATATTAGATTTGGTAAATTGATATGGAAATAAATAATAGGAAATGTTAAGGTTAAATTATGAAAAAAGAAAATAATTTAACATATTAAAAATAAAACTTCATTTATAAAAAAAAAAATTGGATAAAATTGTAAGAAGTAAAAGTAATGATGCCATGGTAGTATTAAAATATTGCTCTTCAAATATATAGAGTATTTGCTTTAATAAGTAGTAATTAATTTTCAATTAGAATACGGAAAACAGTGAGTAAACTTTGATTGGTAGGTAAAAAGATCATTATCATCCTAATATTATCTTACAATTTTCGGTTCTGCTCCAATTGTGAAATTAACAGAAGTCTGTTTTGTCTTCTTTAATGTAATATTATTTCTCTGCAAATTCGCAGCGAGGTAAGATCTTCATTCATTTTCCTCCTCGTTTCTCTCTTATTTTAGCTGTATTTATCTATTTTTCTCTGTATCAATGGATGATTGTTCGATTTTCTGAGAATATTGATTTTCACCTCTTCAATATGGATTTCCAAACTTTCTGACTTTTGCACAAATGGAATCTGAAAAAAATAAATTAATGTGAGAAATTTCAATCAATTAGCAGCTTCATAGACGCAGAATTTTTGAAATCTGATACTAAAATTCTGTGGAATGTGGGGGCTGAATTTTGTTGCCCTGGAGATGTTTGATCAAAGTCCCAAAAGAATTTTAGTTTAGTGGAATATTATGAACAATTATGATTTGTTCAAACACATTTTAATACTGAAATAGCTGCACAAACTTGTCTCATCGGACAAGTAAGCATTATAATTTTCGGTATACATATCTAGACACGAACACTCCAAGCTTACAAAATGATTATCTATACAGTTTATGTGTTACGTTACTGTTGGATGTCCACAAGACACAATGAGGACAAATTGGGAGTGTTTAGTTGTCAGTTTGAGACTAAGTTGAGTTGTCTAGATGTGCACTCTCAAAGTTAGAGGGCTTACTTGCCAGCCGAGGGAAGTTTGAGTATTTGTTTATGTATTATGCCTTTTTTTCTCTCTCTGAATTTCTGCAATTCTGCTGCTCTCTAGAAATAAATGCTTGGATAATTGTTTCAACTTCACTTTATTGTGCCAAATTTTGTGTTATGGATTTACAAATTTTACAAGAGTTTGACCTCTTGGTAGTTTCAAATAGCCAGTCCCAAACCAGGACAATGGAAATGGTTTGCAGTAGGCTGATGCCCAACTTAGCAAATAATCATAGAATGATGAATCCTCTAACATTGAAAAAATTATACGGAATTGGAACGCATAGGCCTGAATAGAGCAGAGAGGATGTTCATGGTTCATACAGCCAATAAGTTTGGGATTGAGGTGTAATTGAATGGCAAGAGTTTGAGTTCATAGCTTTCACCAATGTCTTGGTGAGATGTGCAGTGTGAACATAATTTCAGTTTATTAATTTCATACTTCATAGATTCATTCTGGAATAATATCCAATGATTCTAAATCTTCGTGTATTTGGGTTTTACCCTACCTTATCATTTTTTTTTTGGAATTTGGGTAAGATTTGAGCAGTAACTAAAAGCCATACTACAAAATAAGGCAACTCTAACAACCGACTGCAAATACAATAATCGAAAAGGAGCCTATTTTTCCTGTAAAAATTCCCAATGGAGCTGTTGTAAGAAGAAAGACCAATAAGTTACTTCATGTTGGAATTCCTTATATGCAATGCTTAAGTTTCCCTTGGGAGAGAAGTGTTAAACTTTGTGGTACTCAAGTAGTAGTTATTCTTTCCTTCAAGTGCTTGAGCTGTCCTTGGGAGAAGGTATTGGGGTATGCAACACTTAAGACTTCAATCTACTTTATTTTTAAGTGTGTCCTGAATCTCGATTTTCCTCTGTATGCATAAGTTCTTACTAATTTATTACTAATACCCAACACTTCTAAATTTTTCAGAAAGTTCAAGCTATTTCAAGGAAGAAACCGAGAAATGGCTCAAGCTCTGGACTATTATAATGGGCAAATTGAAGCTCTAATGCGCGCAATGTCTGTAGCAAAAATCATTCGAGAAGATAAGAATCCTTGTATGATTGAAGAGGTACTAAACCGCGATTCCTAGCCATTCTAGCTTTATTTTTCACCTTACTTATATGTTTCCTTAAATTTCTTAGGGTCTCTATTTAGGGTCCCTTGGAGCTGCCAACAATAAAGTTGCACTCAAAAGCTTGAATCTAACTCATATTTTGACGATTGCTAGAGATATAAATCCTCCTTATCCAAATGAGTTTGTCTACAAAGTCCTTTCTGGTAGGAAGTTTCTTACTTTGTTTAATAGAACTGAATTTCTTTGAATGTGTCTTGAATATTTGCACGTGGTGAGAAAATTTGTATCTCCATATTATATAAGTCAATAACTGATGTATGATTCATTCCTTGCTTTATGTAACTATAGTCAACAGCAACTATACTTAAATAGAACTAAGAGAACAGGAAATACCTCACCACACTCTAAGTTGTCCGCGCTGGTGCTGCTGCTGTACTGTGATTTTCTTCCTGTTTCCCGTCTTTTGTCTTCGTTTCTCTTATTGACAAAACCCGCTTAGCTTTGTTTGTACTGGTCCTTCATAAGATTATGTAAAATTTTCTGGTTAACTATCTAATTTGGAGAAGCAAAGAACTCTACTATAGCAATGTAAAGTACAACTTTTCATACCAGAGCCTTCTTGGGACTCTTTTACCAACTTCGTTATCAGATTCTTCCTTATGATTATGCCTAATTATAATTTTTCTTTACCTTCATTTTCATCTACCTAGTAGAACTATCCCATTTTCCTTATCAGAAAAAGTTAAAAAAAAAAGATTGTTAACTTTCCAATACAGTGAAGATAAACTGAGGCCTTTGGCCTTCATGTCTTGAATTTTTTTCACTTTTAATGAGATTGATGAATGGTGTTTATTTTTTCAACTTCTTGCAAATTTTGGGCAGTTCATGACAGAGTTGATGTAAATATTTCACATTACTTTGAGGAATGCTTCGATTTCATTGAAGAAGCAAAAGGACAGGGTGGTGGTGTGCTGGTCCATTGCTTTGCTGGAAAATCCAGAAGGTGATTTCAAGCATCTTTGCCTAAATCTTGAAATCGTGGTTTTATATGTGGGGAAACAACACAAATGGTGGTGCTTAAAACTATATTGGTTTTGTACAATAATTAAGCCAAAATAGCTTCTCTCCATCTTGTTTTGCTATATATAATCAAAAGAAAAATATTATGACTAAACCTAACTCAAAAATAGTAACCTTCATATTCCATCTTCAGCTTGATACTGTGGACTAAAGCACTATCATGGAGCTAGCTTCATCTTTGCTGTTGGGGCGAGCAGGGCAACATTTGTCCTGGATCAGCAAAGTTCCTATGATATTCTTTTTTGACATTTGCAGTCATGGCTGAAGACCAGAATCTTTAATCTAGATATGAAAGTTTCTCCAAGTTCCTTGCATCTTTTGTGCTCTTCGTCGGAAATCTAGTATAGAGGTGTAAAGTAATGCTTCCAAAGTTAAAACCTTGAAAGAATGAATTGTTATCGTCAATATTTTACTGATTACGCTCATTTATGTTTTTTTGATGCCACCTTCTCTGTGTATGGCATTACTTAACTATGATGGATATTTCAACATACACCTGGTGAAGTGCAAGATTTAGTGAGTCACCATTGCAGTGCTGAAGTTGACCATTTCTCATAATATTTTAAGCCTTCTTTAAAGCTAACTGCACAAGTTTCATGTATTTATGGATTGTTGAAGGGTATCTTTGTAGCCTTGTTTCTTTGTTGTAGCAAGAGTCTCCTGTTACTTGCCCATCTGATCTCTTTCAAACCCCTTCTAGCAATAGTAGCTATATCATCATGGCATGCAATACCTTCAGCTTGACTTCATTATTACAAGTGCAACATAAAAAGGACTATGTGGGGGGGGAGGGGGGGGGGGAGTTGGGATGAATTTGGTTATTGGGTTAAATTCTAATATGGAGCTTTTTTATTTATATGGAATCCTATTCATACTCAGCAATCTGATTCTTGCCCTTTTTTAGTTTGATCTTATGTGGTCTGGACTTAGGTTCGCTTTAGTAAATTGTTTGTCTTTATATATATTGAATCAGCTAGCTCTTTTAAGTATAACATTTAGGTTGAATAAAACTTACCTGTTTCCTTCTTATACCATGGCTGATGTCATTTTCTCTAAATCTTGGACACTTCAAGAACAATAGTGAAAAAGGAAATTGAGAAAGAACTTTCTAGAACTTAAAATTTTATCTTGTTTGCTTTTCCTGGTGTTCCTTTTGTATAGTGAGACCACTGTTTTCGTCAGTAGATGTACTTAACTGTCCAATATTCAATAAAGTACTAACAATTGACAGCAACCAGTTTACTGCTTCTCAGTTGTCATTATCAAAATAATCACTGTTTTTTTTGTTCTATGCTTTTGCAGTGTAACCATGGTCATCGCTTATCTGATGAAAAAGCATGGTATGAGTCACTCTGAAGCTTTTGAGCTTGTCAAGAGTAAAAGACCAGTCGTTTCTCCCAATGCTGGTTTTATGACACAGCTGGAGAACTATGATAAAACCCTTAAAGGTAAGGCTTATTGTTCATTTAATGGTTTTACTCGCATGATCTAAGGTTGTCGAGTTTTAGTTCTCATTACTGTGATGTTATCATGTTGCATCTATGATGATTAGTGATGAAAAATGAGAATTACACCTATGTTAACTTCTGACTTATGTTGAATTTCTTATGAAATTACTGTTGTGAACTGAAATCAAAATACAGCCGTCAGACTTACCAAAACCACTGAAAGGGGGAAAAATGAAGTGCAGCGGCAGTTCTCTGAATTGTATCTAGCAAAACAGTGCTGGGCTTGTTTCCACTTCAACAAGCACGAACTTTCCAGACAATCAAATAAACTCCCCAGTGAAACAACTGATGCTTGTTACTTTTGTTCTGTGAAATCATTAACTCGATCCAGTAACAACAAATCTCCCAAATCTAAGGTATGTGTCATGAGTCACTTGTATATGCAACCTTTTATTAATAATGAGAAACTTTTTGGTATACAAACTGTATATCAAAAAGTAGAGAATCTACATAATACGATTCTCCATGAACAACACCCAATCATTTATCCAAATTGAAATCTCAAGGGTGCACCAAAAAGAAACAAGAAATGAGATGTTTCTCCTCAAATGTACGTGATCATTCTCCATTCCATCTAAAGTTTCTACTTTTTTTCTTCGACTAGATCCACAGAATTGCTTGTGGGACGACATCCCAGGCCTTTGACTTCTCTTCCTTCTAATTTTTTTTCAGTGGAACTTGCTCCATCATTGTGCCTGGCATCGCCCAATGCAGTCCTAACCATCTCAAAATCTCACACCACAAGCAAGTCACCACTAAATAAAGTAAGAGGAGGAGGTCTACATCTTCACTTGAACATTTGCACATGAAGCACCACTGTACATATGTAGTCCGCTTTCCTTTTTTTTCAAGGCCTCAGCTGTCAGTATTGCTCCCTCTCTGCCTTCAAGTAAAAACCACACCTTTCTTGGTATCCAAGGAAATCAAACCAGTAAGTATGGAATCATATCCATCCCTCGACAAGAGCTTTGGATGATTTGACTTTACTGAAAACGACCCATCTCTTCTAAACTTCCATGCCCAGTAAGTTGATCTTTCTGAGTAGCTTGTATGCAAATATCTTGCTTCTTTGCGCAACCCTACAAAGGGTTCACTGAGATGGATAGTTGCTGCAGCCGGTACAAAGCATTGTAGAAGCTTAAGCTAAGCACATAATACTCCATAGAGTAAAGATCAACGACCAAGAAATAGAGTAGCTAAACTAGCTATCAAATTGTCAACCTTGCAGAAACTTATCAAAAGTCCCCATAGTTGGAATCTGTGTTACATGGACCTTACATTTGCCTTGAGATAACTAAGCCAAAGCAATGTGACAAGGGTGGGGTATTTCCTATGTATTCTTCAGAAATACTTTAAACATCAAATAACTGCACATGAGCAAGGTACTTTCTCATTTCCTCATCGGATAAGGACCATAGTTGAGTTCATCTAACATCAGGTAAGGACCATAGTTGTACATAGCTAAATCAGCTTTTCTATTTGGAGAACATCTTTCCATATGTGGGGTTTGACCAAATAAACAGTGAGCTAGAGTTTGGCCATAGATATTGGAAGCAGATTTTGAAAATTTGTCTTCAAGTATTTGTTTGACCATGAAATTTGATTAGATTTTCAAAATCTGATCTTCAAATATTTTCAGGTTCCCAAAAACTTACTTCGACCAGTTTTGGGGACTTCCACTCATGAAACTTCAAATTTTTTTTCCAAGTAAAAAATGCTTGTCCAAACACAACTTCGAATTCCAAAATCACAACTTCAAAAACTCACATTTTCAAGTTTCAGTTTCAAAACCTATGGCCAAATGGGAGCTGAATCATCTACCGGAGGAGGTGAAAAAACTTCATGAAATCTGGCCGGCCCAACAAGCTGCAAATTATCTCACTCAAAACAGTTTGTTTCTCCAAAAGTCAGTCTCCAGAATTAATAGTTTATGATTAGTGTGATTACCCTCAGGTCAAACTTGTCAGTACCTTAATGAATCATGTGAGCTGTAAAGATCTTATTTCTTGCTGGTGTATTACTGTTACGATGTCTAGATTTGTGAAAATTCATGTTGCTGTAGCAGGCATGTAGATCTTTACTAGGGGATTCTTTCATCACCATAAATTATTAGTCTCTTGAAATATATCATTGAATTCAATCTCCATATTTGACAATCTTTCTATCTGTTTCCATAGACATATGAATGGGTTGGTCTTTAGCTTCTTATGTTCCTCCACATCAATGAGATACATAGAGGACATTCTTCCATATGCTATAACTTCTACATGTGGTTTTCTGGTTAATGCTGCTGTGAGCTAGTTTCTAGAGTTGTAAATATTGGTTATGATGGATCTTTTGCCTGGACTAGAATAACACTTTTTGCATATCCATTTGGTTTGGGTAATTCCTTGACAACACAAGATTGAAATATGTTATGAGTTTACAAGATTTAGACGTTCTACTTTCTTATTCTTAAAGATGAAGTATGGACATTCTTCATGCTACACGAGTTTCTTTCCCAATGAAGTAGCTTTATTCGTCTTCTAGTTATAAGTAGGACGAACGCAGTAATAGTTTTGCCCAGTGGAGTGAAGGGGAAAATCTAAACTTCTGGTCTTGAATGTCATTTGATTAGGTCAACAGTTTTTGTGCGGCTAACTTGAATCTGTTTATCTTGTTGTATTATACTGTTCAATCTTTTCTTGCATTCTTTAGGTGAATTTCATCATTTTTTACTATGTTTTCAGCTCATTATATTTCTAACCATCTTTTCAAAAATGCAGATCTGAATACACCAAATGTTATGCTGTGATAAAAGAGCACGCAGCGCCATCTTGTTGATTGTTTCAAACAGTAAGCATTGTTCATCCAAAAATGGGTGACCTGAAATAATTATTCATTAAGTTTTATATTTGGAGAAGACGGACGTGAGACTGTTCACCAATTTTGGGTGAAGTGTCTTGTTTTGATGCATGTTTGTTTTTAGATAGGATCAGTTATTATATGTCAGTGTCAAAAAAGTATTTGTTTTGACGTCAAAACTCTTTAACATTAACTATTCATTCTAAACAATAGTATCACAAACTTTTGTTGCCCCACTTTTCTTTTTAAACAATTCTTTGACCACCAAAGGATTTTATCTTCGTCCAGTTTGATCATTTAAGTCTTCATATATTATTTTGGTCAAGTGAGAAGCACTCCCAACTAATAATCTGGTTGAATTTTTTCATTTATTTTATACAAGCAACTTGTATTTGATCTTATCGAAAGATATAATATATATAATTTTGAACTCCAACTTTTATAATGCACAGACAAGCATTTTAACTATCTTACTTTTAAATAAATAAACACATGAGTCCTACATGGAAAAATATACGTAGGACGAAAAATGATATGTAGAATGACATGCAGGGCATTTGTGTCTATTTGTTCAAACTTATACAAATTTAAGTATCTACTTGTGCACACCCAAAGTTGAAGAATATAAACATAATTTGAAGTCAAGTTAAACGATATATTTATGTATTATGTCTTATGAAAAACGTGTGTATGCACAAAAATTCTTTCTTATCTAATACAAAAGTGAATATAAGAAAAGAAATTTAATAAGAAGAAAGTACAACCCCTATTTATATTTTCAAGGAAAGCGAAATCTTTCTTTGATTTTTAGTTATTTTATTTATTTATTCAAGAAATAAGTAATAATCAGAGTAGCAATTAGTACTGTGTCAAACTTTTAAAAAATATATCTTAGTGTATTTACTTTAAAGAATTTAATAAATTAGTACTTTTAATTTTATTTTAAAATACTTTTTCTTCTCTTATAAGCTTAATTTTAGAACTTAACCGAACAAATTATAAGTCGAATACTAGTGTCTCGATTCTTTGAGATTTGGATAGGTCTCAGCATTAATGACAATTGACAAAGATTATATAGGTCATAAAGATGATCGTTATCAGAAAAAAAATGTGGAAACTTGTGGCGCAAAGTCAGCTTAGCACTTGTTTTCCGTTGATAGAATAAAAGGATAATAAAAAGATGAATATGCTACATATTATTACTTTTCGCTAATCTATTTGTCCCTATTTATATACTCCCTTCATTTTAAAACCTTCGTTTTAAAAAGGATGATACAATTTAACTTAAAACAGAGTTCAAGAAAAAAAAAGAAATTTTTTTAATTTTATAGTTTTAAATTAAAGTTATGTCAAATGTACCAAAGTATCTTTTAATCGTGTGGTCTTAAATATGTCACGTGGAAAGTTAAAGTTAAATTGTTGTAAAAAAAAGGGTCATTCTTTTTTAAACAAACTAAAAGAGAAATAGGTACATTCTTTCCGAAACGGAGGGAGTAGCACTTTTCGTATTTTGAGATTTAAACAAGTTTATCTTACAGTAATTTTTTCATAGATCATTTTAATATTTTGAATTATTAATTATTGTGACTTATAGTACTCTTTACGTAGTTTACAAATATATAAATTTTATTTCAAAAAAATTGAAAATTTCTTAAGCAAACGTCCTATCAAAGTTAAACTGTTTGACTCTCGAAAAACAAAAAGTGTCACATAAAATGGAACAGATGGAGTAGAAGAGAGCCATGCTTTCTTGTAGTTAGGGGTAGTTTAGTAATTTTGTTGTTTTCTTTTTAAAAATTTTATCTAAAAAAATATGTAAATAGTATTATAAATCATAATAATTGATAGCTTAAAATAATTAAAAATATATAAAAAGTTTTCGTTAAATCTCAAAATTTCATCTGTACCACATAAACTGGGATAAAGAGAGGAAATATATTATATAAATTACATAAAATATATTATAAATCACAATAATGAATAACTTAAATATCAAAAAGAATTTATAAAAAAATTGTGAATTGTAAAATTTCATTTATATCACATAAATCAACACAAAAAGAGTAATACTCCCTCCGTCCCATTTTATGTGGCAACTTTGACCGGACACGGAGTTTAAAAAATAAAGAAGACTTTGAAATGTTTACTAAATTGCCCTTCAAAAAAGTTAACTCACTTTTCTCCTCCTCATAAATATATTAGACTACTATGTTTAAAATTAAATGGGACAAAGAGGAATTGTACCTTTAAATACCTACCATATAAGAAAATCTGACATTCTTTTGGGGATTGATAAAAATGAAAATGGTGCCACATAAAATGGGACAGAGGGAGTATATATTATATGAAAGTTACGTAAAAGTACTATAAATCACAATATTAGCAACTTAGAATCTCTCTCTCTCTCTCTTTCGTTATATATATATTTTTAAAAATTTGGTTGACTCTAATATATAAAAACATGTTAAGAAATTGATTAACTTCAAATTCCACATATAACACATAAATACATTAAAATAGAAAGAGTAATATATATCAGGCTTCGTGCTTGCACTTGCACGGGGTCCTTATATAGTATACGAGTTTTTGGCTAAAATCATCCCTCAACTATGACCTGAATCTAAAGTACATCCTTGTGTTATAAAAGTGAACAAAATTCATCCTTCTGTCTATTTTTTAAGAAACTCACGCCACCAACAAAAAATATGTCAAGTCGAATGAATATATACACACGGTTAAGCTAGTCAAGTTGAATGATTTTTTAATTTTTAAAAATTGGAGATTTAAATCATATTCAGATAAAATATTTTAAATCCTAAATATTCTTTGTAAAAAATATGTTCAAATACAACTCCAACTTTAAAAATTTCAAATATGTAATTATTTATTTAATTTTAACAACAAAAACGTCTACATAGTTTCACTAAATTATCAGTATTTTTGTATATTGTATTAAATGTGAATTGCATTGTCTATATAGTATATACGTACTATATATTTTTTTATTAAAGAGAATCTCTAAATAGTTGCACATAATATTTTTAAAATAATTATTTTTTCATAATCTTTCAAACCATCGAATCCTACTGTATAAATATTTCAAAACTTATGTATTATTGCAAGTAAATTTACTTGATGCAAAAAAAAACATATAAACTAACAACACAAAAAATTTAAATTATGAGAATAAAATATTCATTTTCTATGCATATCCTTTTTCTTTTTAGGTAATTTTGATCTTCTTGATATAGCTAAGACATGACCAGCAAATTTTTTTAAAAAAAATATTGGTTCAATTAGTTTCTTAACAAAAATAGACTGAAGGGTGATTCTTGTTATTTTTTGATAGTATAGGAATGTTTTTTGCTCACTTAAATAATATAAGGATGTACATTAGATTTGAATCATAATTGAGGAATGATTTTAGCTAAAAAAATTCTCTTAGTATACATACAAGTTTTTCTGTTATTTATAGAGGAATATACTACTAGAAATTGAGAAATTAGCTATGGAAAAGTTTATGCCTAAATAATAAAAATATGTTGATCTCATTTAACTATGAATTAGCGACGGACTATGAGTAATTCAATTAGTTAAGACCATTTTAGTGACAAATTAACAAGGAATTGCCTATAATTTTGTAAACTTCATATTTTCTTGTAGTGATTATTTGGCTCGCGTAACATATGATCTTCCTGATGGAGCATTTCTATTGGGCATAGATTCTAAGAAGGCATAAGGCATAAATTATCATTTAACTTGATTTTAATTGATATCTATGTACTTCAACTTTGACAATTTTAAAAATATAGCTAATAAATATTATAATAAAAAAATTGAACTAAAAATTGATTAAAAGTATTTAAATTTGAAAATGAATTAGATTTTTTAAAATAAATAAATCCTTAGTTTAAAAACAAAATCCACTATAGAAGAGTTCTAAATGAACCCCCTCCTTTAATTTATCATTTTTCCGATATTGAAAAATATTTAATTTAAGTATATATTTAAATTTAGAAGTGGAAATAATTTCAAAAAAAAATTATAATAAACATGGTAACACTTACAAGGATATAAAGTTGCTAATTCAGAAAGTCTGGAAACAGATGATGGAGATGAGAGTAGGAAAGGGTGTTACCATTTAGAAAAATCAATTTGGATTCATGTTAGGGTATTCTACTACGAAAGTCATTTATCTTAAAGAGGATAACTGTGGAAATATATAGAAAACGAAAAGGGAATTATATATGATGTTCGTTGATCTTGAAAAGGTCAATTATAAAGTCTAAGAAAAATTTTCTAGAGATGCATGTACACTAAAGGTACAACAGTGGCTAGAGGACATAAATAATGGAGTCAAGACTCAAGCGGAGACGGGCTTGCACCAGGGACTAGATAAAAATTTAGAGTGCAAATTTAGTGATGCCATGCATGAGGTAGAAATGAAAGTGAGGCTTGACTCATCAGAAATCCCTAAGAGAAACAATATCTTAGATCTTTAATTGAGGAAAGTATCGATGATGATTTGACACATTGTATTTGTGTGACGTCAATGAAGTGAAGTCTTGCCTATGGAGTCTTGTGTGACCATAAACTTAAAGGTAAGTTTAACATAGTAATATATGTTGTTTTAATATATTATTTCAATTATTGCACTATTCTTTTAATATTGTTATTGTTTTTATATTAGTTGTTATATCAATTATTCATCATTTTTATGTTTCATACTTAATTATGATTTGTTGTACTTTAGTCGGGTTTTCACACCTCGAGCCTGCATCTTGAACGTGGCCGGCACTCGAAGACCGTTACTGATTTCGAGCAGCGGACCCTTGCCTGGGACTTAAACGCAAGAGATAACTCATGAGATAACTTAAAAGAAATACTTAGCCAAAGTGGCAACTCGTGTCTTAACCGTTTACAACTGAAAAGAATAAGACTAAAGAACTATAATAGTTGTCTATAAAGCCTCTAAAAATACATGTTATATATATTTTTAGAGGTTTTATAGACAACTATTATATGAAGTTTGTAAAACAGTGTAAACAACTTTGTTCGTTAAAGAGATGCAATAACAAACTCAACTTTACTTCTAAGATAAAGTAGTATAATTTCTGTCAGAGATTCTCTAACCGACAACCACCACTATGAGCCTGAGCCTAAGTGTTGATACAACGTCTTGTCCGCGCTGCCAGAACTGTCATATACTTTGTCGTCGCATAGAACTACTTAACTTAGTGGATCTACTAGCTTAACTTATGTGATCATCTAAAAAGTATGACTCATTAATACCCATAATGGTTACATGGCTTATGGATACTTGAGTTATTATAAACTCGCGTTCCCATATCGATGTCCAATACTTCTCCCAATAATATACTTAGCTCGTATGTTTTTAAAACAACTTGTTTCTTTGGATTAAGGTAATTACTCAACACTTAGCTTAAAATCTCTCTTGGAATCAATGTTCCCTTTCTTGTTGAAATGTGAAAATATTTATGAACTCTTAGGAAATATTTAGTTCCCTTATAATTTTTGAGAAATGAACTCAAACTCTTTACTTTTTACTTAACTTGAAACTTGAGTCTTAAAAACATCTCTAAGGGAATACTTAGTTCCCTTGTAACTTTTTGAGAAATGAACTCAACTCTTTACTCTTTACTTGACTTGAAACTTGAGTCTTAAAAACAAAGTTAAAATATTGCTAAATACTCTTGAAAATTTTTAAGAACTTTGTTTTGACTTGTTTCTTAACTTTTAGACTTGACTCTTAACTTCTTTGACTTTTATCTTAACTTTCCTTGAATTGGATTATAGACTCAAGGTTGATGATCTCATGTTTATGGATGATTTCATGATGTTTAGATGTACCTTAGAGTGTTCAAATCATCACTAAGGAACTAATACGAAAAAATGAAGGAAGAATGGAGAGAATTGGGTCCCTGGCACTCTAAGAGGCGTAGGGCGTTAGTCCACAAATTACAGAGAGTTGGGTAGGGCCCTCTGGCTGGCGCGGCGCCCCAAGGCCCTACGAATAGATATTGGTCTGTGGGGCTTTGAGAGGCGTGACGCCCCAACCCCCTTATCTAGGTGTTCTCGACTTTTCTCCTTAGTTTTTTTTTATCTCAAATCCTCTAAACTTCCATGGTTCTTTCCCCAAACACTTAGGATCATTAGTACTATCAATATACAATAGATTCAACCCAAAATTACACCCGGAAATATGAATCAAACCATTAAGAAACTTCAAGAACACAACCATCAAGAACTCAACGAATTTTCAACAATGTTATTCGAGAACTCATTTTCTTAACATTCAAACACCTTAAATTCACTAAGTTAAAAAAAGATTGGTGTGTGGGTGGACTAACCCAACACTATGTGATCTCACATACTTTATAGGGATCATCCTTGACGAATTTCACATGCGAAGCTTAAATGTTCTTGGCGACTTCTTGATTTCTTCTTTTTTTCTCCTCTTCTTTCTTTTCTCCAAGCCCTAGTGTGAATTCTATTTTTTCTAAACTAAAGAAGTCTTGTTTTACCCCAATTAATCCCTAAAAATGAATTAATATAATTAGGTAGGAAAAGACAAATTTGTCCTTCCCAAATCTAGATTGGACTTCCTTAATCCAACAAATCAATTTTAAAAGGCATAACTCACTCATATAAATTCAGGATCGCGTAAACTTGGCGGTGATGGAAAGATCATTCCAATCATATCTGGAACTACACCTAACTCATCCTCGGCTAGGAGTTATGGTCGTTTGAAGTTGGCCAAAAACTCACTTTTAACTTACTCAAAGATTTCCAGATTTCCTTATATTTCCTAAAAGTAACTATTTTCATATTTTATACTCTTTTCTAGTTCTTTCTAGTTGCGAGATGTTACACGGATATTCTTCAGAAATAATTTTTTTATCTTTACGGGATAATGATAATATCTACGTATATTCTATACTTCTCAAACTTCACTTGTAAAATTTTATTGAATATATTATTGTTGTTAGCGAATAAATATTAGAGTAATTTTTTTAATAACAAAGTTTGGTTTTTTTGGGGTGACAGTGAAAAAGCAACCAGTTCCACTAACTATATACAATTACTTCATTGATCTTTATTAGATGACTAATCGATTACACACCTCTTGTGGTACACCCATCACCTATATATCTACTAACACACAAAAGATAAGGTGGGCGGTCATCCTCTATTTGACATCAAAGAAAAGAAAATTAATATAACCTATTAGTAGAAACATATATATACATATATCTGTGGGCAAAAACTGATAAAATCAAGTTGACTTTAAAATGAGAAAATAAAAAATATAAAAATAAAATAAACAAATTATCATAATAAGAAGGTGGTGAAATGTATGCAGAATTTAGAGTGCATGCACGAACCATACATGAAGTAAGAAGCAAAAGAATTAAGAGCAGCTCTTCTACATGACAATAAATAAATAAACATATAAATAAGAAATTACTACTTGTTATATTCTTTTATCTCACGCTGGGAACGTAAATGTCCATATGGTAATAAACGTGAGACCTATAATATATATTGTATATTGTCCACAAACATATATATATATATATATATATATATACACACACATAATATATGTTACGTGTTTATTTATGTAATATTATATTTGTTGTATCTCATATATAAAAGACTGCGTGTGAAAATAAATTAACAGTCACGGGAGAACAACACATAGCATTTAATAAGAAAAAAATATAGACTGATAGTTAGGTATATCCCAACACTATACAACTAGTTATTCTTTTACATTTTTTCTTATGTCACTATATATATAAAGCTCTTTGAGAGACAAAAGCAAAATTGTAAAAACATAAAAACTTGCAATTTAGGTTTTTTTTTTTTAAGAAGAAAAAAAAAAGTATCATGTCTCACATAGCAGTGGAGAGAAACAGGAGAAGACAAATGAATGAAAATCTCAAGGTTTTGCGTTCCTTAACTCCTTGTTTCTACATCAAAAGGGTACTTCTTCTTCTCAATTTTCTCAAATTTTCCATACTTTTGAGTCGGTATAATCATCTAGCCGGTGTCCAAGCCAGAATTTTCAATAAGGAATTAGGATTCAAAAGGGATTCAGTATCCAATATATACATAAAAATAATTTAACCATATAAACAATTATAATTTTTCATTGAAGACTGTTCGAATGAATCTCCCTTAACCCTACCTGACTCCGCCCCTGGATATTCGTCTCACCTTTTCCTTTTGGATTTTTTTTGGGGGGTTAAAACAGTTCGTTAGTTATTACTGTTTGTGATGATTATATTTTGAGTTTTGGTAGGTATTTAAACTGTGAAATTATCAATATACGTACATATCGGAGTGATCATAGTATCGATCGATTCGAGTGTATGTTTACCTATGACTACTTGTAATTCTTTATCATTGTATGTCAAGCACAATAATTTGGTTATAAATAGGGCTATAACTCGTTATAACCAGTTAAATTGCGTTGAAACAATATAAAATTCTTTATACTGTCAGCGTATATTACTTAGCGATGCAAATATATATTGGAGGAATTAGAAATACCAAAAGGTGTGTTGGTTTGAAGTATTGAATAAGTACCAATTAAATTTAGGGTTTGATTTTTCGATTTAATTCTTCTTTTTCTTGTTCTAATCTTATTTGTAATTGAACTTGAAGGGTGATCAAGCATCAATAATAGCAGGAGTGATTGAATTCATCAAGGAATTACACCTTGTTCTTCAATCTCTTGAGGCGAAAAAGCGACGAAAGAGTCTAAGCCCTAGCCCTGGTCCTACTACTCCAAGGCCATTGCAACTAAGTCCTACACCTGAAAGTAGTCCATTTATTACTCATAATAATAACTTCAAGGAACTTGGAGCATGTTGTAATTCTCCAGTGGCTGATGTTGAAGCAAGAATATGTGGGTCAAATGTTATGTTGAGAACAATTTCAAAGAGGATTCCAGGTCAAATTGTGAAGATAATCAATGTGCTAGAGAAACTTTCTTTTGAGATTCTTCATCTCAACATCAGTACCATGCAGGATACTGTTCTATACTCCTTTGTCATCAAGGTGATCATCATATATCCCTTTAATTATTTCTAATTTGGAAATTCACAATAACTACGTCTCAGTCTCAAACTTTTTCTTCACACAATAATACTAATATACTTGTTGGTAGTGTCAATTCTTTTGAATAGAGATATACATTTTCTTAAAACTAATGTGATCAAGTTGACTATAACCGTAACCTTACATTTTCATGTGTGTTAATTGATTAATATGAAAGTGAGGAAAGAGATAATGATTCGTATATAAATATATTCCATATGTGATCGTGATCATTAATTTGGCGTTAAAGTCTTTAATCATCTTATCTAAAAGTTTAAGATCATTAGCACATGCCTTTATGTGTAAGCTTGATTCAATTTTACACAAGAACTTTGATTATAGCGTGTAATTATATCATCTAAAAACTTAAATCGTTAAAAGACGGTACACTTTCATATACTTTATTACATTTTCTTCACCCTACACACGTCTTCAAAGTCTAATATTTTTATTATTCTTGTAATGCAGATAGGACTGGAGTGCCAACTTAGTGTGGAAGAGCTAGCACTGGAAGTTCAAAAAAGCTTCACCTCATCTGATGTTTTATGTATCAACGAGATATAGATCAATTTACAAAATTAAATAATACTCTAGTAATATCTAGCTAATTATGTACTCCCCATCTAATATTTATCTTCTTATGCTTTATTGCTATATATCTTTTGGATATATGTATACAAAGTGTAAGAAGATAATTTTGGAATGTAACAAATAATTTCCAACATTTTAAGGTTGGATTTAGTATGTGAAATGTTGCACTATTATATGACTAGATATACTTCTGAATTAGAAAAATTTGAGGATATATATTAATACGTACTATTATTTTATTTATATATAGAAAGATAGACTTTATCTTTGTATCTTTTTGTTATTTTATATGTTATTATAAGAGAAGAAAGTAGTTGCATGCAGTACTTGGGTTTTAAATATATATATATTTTTTTTCATGTTGCAATGGATGCTTTACAACGTTATTAATTATATTGTGTCTTATTTGGACGTTAATTACTCAAGTTTGGATATATCATATATGGATTACACCCAATCTTTTACTCTGAAAGTGATCAAATTAAGTTCATGAAGCCAAACTCATTGTTTTTCTTTTTCCTTACGGTATGGAGTCCGCATTAGAACCCCAATTATATTCAGATCACACACTATAAAATTAATTTAAAATGGTGCTTTCAACAGAATTTCCTCCATACATCTAGGGTTCGAACCTAAAATCGTGAATTAAGAATGAAGCAATTCCATCCCTCCGCCTGACACATGTTGGTAATCTCAGTCATTGTCGTCTCATTTGTCTTGATGCCAAATAACTAACGAGAATTCTGAATTTTAATGAATTTTATAATATAGTAGTTTAAAGTCCAAGGTGTAGTAACTGATATTAATTAATATTGTTTCGTTATTTATTTTAATTGATTATTATGAGGTTAGTTATATCATTAACATTAAACATTAGAATACCTAGCCTACTAAAACTGAATGAAGGAAAATCTCTTTGACTACCTATGTCTATAATATATAGAGAGAGAATTTTTCAGTGTTTGAACTATAGAATAATTAAAAGCTTTTGGGAAAAGGAAAAAGAAATTACTATAAAAATGACACTAATTAATACCTTTTGTATTTTATAGTTAGAATTCGGCTGGGAGTCGTTTGTCATGAGGTATAAGGTAGATTAATTGCCCTATCATTTTTATTTTAGTGATAGAATAAATCATATCGTATTTCAAGATCACTTATTCTGAAATAATTAATTTTGAATAATCTGTCCCAACCAAACAAAGGATAGTTCAAAGATGTTTTTGTGATATTCAACATTTTGTAACCTTTAATTGGACTTGGCCCAACAATTTAAATATGGGAAAATTGTATATCATAGCAAACTAATAACATAAAATAAATGGAGTAGCTAGGGTTTGATTTAATTGTGCTCCATAGCAAATGTTAGCTAAAGTTTGTCAGGCGTCTCTCTCCCAAAAATCTCGCTCGCCACTCTCCATTCTCGCTCGCCTCTCTCGCTTTATACACAGAAGTGTATAATTTTGTTTCTGTTCTGTATAAAGCGAGAGAAAATTGTATATACACATGCAAAAATATATATCTTCCTGTTATATACTTAATTATACAATTTACAAACATTTTACTTCAAATATTGCAGAGAAAAAGGCCAACGAATTACACAATTGTGAATTATACAATTGCAGTGAAATAAAAGTTTCTCTAGCTTTATACAACAGAAGTGTATATATTGTGTTTCTGTTTTTGTATAAAGCGAGGAAAAAACATATATTTTCTTGCTATACACTTATAATTATGCAATATACATACATTTTAATTCGATTCAACTGTATGCAAAGCATATTTTATAAAAATATTGCAGCGAAATAGGCAGCGAATTATACAACTGTGCAGTATACAATCACAATGAAATAGGATAGCGAATTATACAATCACAGCGAAATAGGCCAGCGAATTATACAATTTAGGCCAGCAAATTATACAATTATATATATATATATATATAGCGAATTATACAGTTTTATGTTTGCTATGGAGCGCAATTATGCAAACTTTGCTATAGAATACAAAAATGAATTTTTTGTTTGCTATATGTGAAAGTTGCCCTTTAAATATCACAACATTCTAACCTTTGCAATTGGGCCGCCCAAAATAAATGTCTTTTATTTTCTTTGTTTGTTGTTTTGTTTCTCATTGATTACTAACGGCCCATTTGGGTTTGAAATGTTTTTTTTTCTTAAAAAAAGTGAAGCTTTTATTATGTTTTCTGAAAATCAAAACAACATAAAACAATTTAAATGTAGATATTGATGACACATATTAATCATAATGGAGGAAAAAACTTACCAGCACCGGTTGTAATACAAAGATCTCCAAAAATTCAATTACTAAAATTAATCATCATGCAAAATTATATTAAGAGGATCATGCCTTTTAATTAAACTCATATTATAATCCTCCTCCAAAGTCATAAATCATAAGTATCTGTTAACTACTCTATTATTTCTTCAAATGTTGGTTACCTATCACGCAGAAAATAATCAATAGGAAAATAATTAAGACGTGGGGTCCCCAAATACTATAATTTCTCCGTCTAGTTTTACTTATCCAATATCGACTTGACTCACTTCTTAAGAAGCAACAAACAAAATGATAATTTTATCATATCACTATTTGAATAAATAAAAATAAATTGTTTTTCAATTTTCTAAACTGAAGCAAAAGTGTACAGAAATAGTAAATACTATTTAAGAAATGTGAATGTATATCAAAAAAAACAAAAAAAGAAACTTTGGTTAATCTTCTTCATGATTGCTTTGCCACATGAAACTAAGTACTATCTAATTGTTTGTTTAGTCAAATAGACATATCCTCTCTCACATGCATTGTGTATATTCATGTTGGTAATCATCATTATTCCTTCTTTTTTAACTTTTTCATTTTATTTTTTTTTTTAATTTCTTTGCTTTTTTGTGTTCATCCCTTACTCAAGACTCTACTTCTCTCACATGAATATTGCATTTCCCCACTTTTTTAGGGTTCTTTTCTTCATTGTCTTTTTATTCAGAGTTGTTGTCTGTCTTGTTGTTTACTTGGACAAATGTTGATTTCCAAAGAGGGAGTTTTGTTTCAAGTGTCAGTAATCTTACTTTTAATTATGAGATCAAAGACTTTAACTTTGACCAATAAAATGACCATTAACACCCTAAATACATGCTCAAATCTCAATAACATGTTCACCTAGACCTAGTTCTAGATTAGTCACACATACTTATATACATATATATGTACTTTTTTTGTTATATATAATGAAGTGATGGTAAATGAGAGGCTAAAATAATAATAAGGAATTGTTTATATAGAAGTGGTGTGTTATTACTCAAAAGTAGCACAAACACAAGCATACTATATAGTTTAGGGGAAATGTCCACAATTATCAAATGTACTACAAATTCAAATGAGTCAAATCATTTTATAAAACTCCAAAATTCATGGTCCCAACACCTTACTATACCTAAAAGTGTTACCATTTTGTTTGAACTTATAACCTCAATAAATATAATGGTCCAAACAGAAACAACCCATCATCACATACCAAATGCCCACATATCATGTCTCCTGGCCCAATAGTTTAAAATCCAATTTGAGTTTAGTTTTTATGTAAGGAAAGTCATTTTTTACGCTCAGTGAGAATCTGTTTGGTCAAGCATCTAAAATCGTGTCATCTAGAGTATTTAAATAGTTCACTTCAAAAGGATATGTTAGTGCCACGAAGAAGTCATAATTCAAATCGTTGAATCATCTATTGGGCCTTCATACATATATTAATATTAGAAAAATCAAAAATTTTGACGAAAGAATCTATCACGAGAGTCGCACAAATTTTTCAATAAAAGAAAAAGGAGTTAATTTTTCATGAACTTTGTTCATGCCAATGAAAATTTCTTCATAAAATGATCATATTTTTTTAAAGAACTTGTCGGTAATAAATATTTAATATCATAGAAATAAACTTTAACCATTTTGGGTTTCCAAAAGATGGAATTAGTGACAACATGTATATGAATTATTTGTGTGACTTCATTATTATCATATTACTTCAAATGTACACGTAAATTAATTGTGATGTAATACACTGTATCAATATTATCTCCCTTAATCTTGTGGAAGTAGCTAGGAATATAATGATCATGTATATTTACTTAGATACACCATGACGAAATAATACATAAAATATAAATACTATAGTTTTCAACAAGCTTTTTCATGTACAAATAATTATGACATGCCCATTACGTCATTTTTTAGGAGACGTTAGGTATGAAATATAAAATATAATAATTTTGAGATAAAATACGGAATCATTTTATCTTATATTAGATTGAAGGTATTAGATAGTTATTAAATTAATTATTCAACCATTTATTCATTGAGGGAACAAATTGTTTCATATATATATATAACAAGATAACTTATTTCAAAATAATTTATCTAAAAATAATTAATATTGGTATAACTTGTTTCTAATCGAACAACCCGCGAGGAAATATCCTCATTTTAATTGGCAAACTAAAAGTAAAAAAATAAAATAAAAAGATGATATAAGGCTTTGTAAAAATATCTAGAGAAGAGGGAGGTGCACATGAATTATCAGTCAGAGATCTTAAAAAAAATGCTTGACATGCTAGAAGATATTTTCATGCAAAATATTTTTTTTTAGGAAAAGTTACTTTTGTGTTTGATTTCCTAAAACTCTATTTTAAGAAAAATATTTTGCATCAAAAACCACTTATTAGATGAAAGTCGTTAATTTTCCTTTACAACAGTCTAAATTCGTTAATCAATATTGTATTTTCTTTTTTCATATTTTTAAGAAAATATAAACTAAAAGAGTGATTTTGACAGAATTATTTTTATCTTGGTCGATCTTAATTTAATTTCACTGTTTTTTTCATCATACTAATCTCTTTACACCTTTATTGATTACGGTTAAATATAAAAATGAATAATTAATTGTAAATCAACTATTGTTACTAAGCATGATTATTAGAATTATCCGAATGGAGTATACTATTTATATTAATTAGTCAATGTGTTTGATAAATAATTGAGAGAATAAGTAAATATAAATAAATTAAAATTTATTTATAATATATTGGACATAAAATTAAAATTTTATTTTTAATATTTACAGTCACATTCAAAATTTTAAAATAGAATTAATTAAGAGTGTAATTTAACAGGAGCCTTTAAGTTGAAACGGGGGGAGGAGTGAGGACTTTAGTCACTAAAAATGTAATGTTAATCAATTTTAACTTTTTATTAGTGAG